TTTGCCGATGACACCAAAATAGGCCGTGATTCATTCTGGACGAGGACATTCGAGGCACTCCAGGAAGATTTGAATAGACTGATGCAGTGGGCGGAGAAGTGGCAGATGCAGTTTAATATAGACAATGCAAAGTTCTAAATGTTGGACAGGACAATAACCATGCCACATATAAACTAAATAATGTAGATCTTAATATTACGGAAATTTCGAAAAAGATTAGGAGTTCTGGTTAGCAGTAATCTGAAACCAAGACAACATGCATAAGTGTTCGCAATAAAGCTAATAGAATCCTTGGCTTCATATCAAGAAGCATAAATTAATAGGAGTCCTCAGGTTGTTCTTCAACTCTATACATCCTTGGTTAGCCTCATTAGATTTTGTGCACAGTTTTTGCACCGTAAATTTCAGAATGGATATAAATTCTCTGGAAAATGTACAAAGGAGGATGACAAGATGATCCATGTATCAGAAACCTTCCCTATGAGGATAGACTAAGGGCCCTGAAACTGCACTCTCTAGAAAGACGTAGAATTAGGGGGGATATGATTGAGGTTTATAAGTGGAAGACAGGAATTTAAAAAAAGGGGATGTAAATAGTGTGCTGAAAATTCTAGCCCAACAGGACTCGCAGCAATGGTTTTAAGTTGGAAAAAATTCAGATTCAGGAGGGAAATAGGAAAGTATGGTTGGTAATAGAGTTTGGTGAGTGGAACAAACTCCCAAGTACCGTTATAGAGGCCAGAACTTGTTACTTTTAAAAAAAGGTTGGATAAATACATAGTAGAGTGGGTGGTGGATTAGACTCCCTTAAGTCAATGTACCCCTGACCTGACTAGGTTGGTGCATTGTCTGTGCCGGTAGGACTTGACCTCTATCTCTCTATCATGGGCCATAGCCTTTTTAGCCATGTCCTCCTATCGTTCTTATTTCTTATTTCTTATAACGGTGGGGTGACGTAATATCGGCGGTGGTGACGTAATAACGGTGGTTGGTGACGTAAGTAATAACTGTGGTGACGCAATAACGTTTGGTGCAAGGCGTAATAATGGTGTGTAACGAATAACGTGGTGAAGAAGTAATAAACTAAGAAAATGCGTACAGAATACATATAAATAGGAGGTAATATATAATTATATATATATAATATATATATATATATATAATATATATATATATATATATTATACAAATAATCGAGCGTATAAATATATATTATATATTATATACATCATATAATGCAACATGATCAATTACGTCTAATCATGGAGCGTAATTTGACACTGTAATCTTGGACTCAACAACCATTGTATTAATACACCCATGACACGAGTATGAGCAACCACCATGACACAAGTATGGAGCACCACCATGACACAAGTATGATCATCACCAGACAGTCGGCGTATGACACCACATGACACAATAGGGACATCACCATACAAGAGTATGAGGAGCACCACCATGAAGACACAAGTTATGGGGAGCAACACCATGACAACGATAGACACCCACCATAACACAAGTATGGGACATCACCATGACACATATGGACACCACCATGCCACGAGTATGGGAGCACCGAACCATGCCACAAGTAACAAGGGAGCACCACCATGACACAAGTATGGAGCACCACCATGCCACGATATGGGAGCACCACCACAGCCACGATAGGAGCACCACCATGCCACAAGTATGGGAAGCACCACCATGAACACAAAGTGTATGGAGCACCACCATGCCACAAGTTGGGAGCACCACCATGCCATGAGTTAGGAGCACCACCATCCACAATATTTATGGGAGCACCACCATGACACAAGTATGGGAGCACTACCATGAAGCGCGCGCGGTGATGGGAGCACCACCATGCCCACCAAGTATGAGCACCACCAGGCCACGAGTATGGGACACCACCATGGCCCGATATGGGAGCTCCACCATGCCACTGTAATGGGAGCACTACCATGACACAAATATGGGGAGCACCACCAATGCCGAGCGAAGTATAGAGCAACACCATGCCACAAGTATAAGAGCACCACCATGCCACAAGTATGGGAGCACCACCACCCAAGCGCGTGATAGAGAAAGCGTAGGCGGGCCCCACTCTTCTTATCTCGCTCACTACATATTTTTTTGTTCTGGATCTATTTATACTACTGTTTTAAACAGACATACTAGAGCGAGAGCTTAACAAGACAACATTTGGCAGGCTGATCTTTTATCAATACAGGCTAAAGCTTTACACTGGTGGTAAATTTTGTTTCTGAAGATGGTTAATGACTTAAGATCTACTACCTACAATCCTGTAGGATAATGTTTAAAATTTTATCTGCCATATCCTACCCTGTATTATGGTTTAAAGCTGCTATCTACCACATCCTGGTAGTTTAATGGGTTTAAAAGTTTATCTCCACACCCTTGAGTGTAATGGGTTTTTTACTTAGCTAACCTGTCGCGATCGCGTGGAATTTATGGATAAAGCTTATCCTCAATCCCTGGTAGGGGGGAGGAGAGTGGTGGTGACGTGTGATCGTTGCTCCACAACAACTATATAGGTTAATAGGTTAAAGCTTATCTCCTGACTCCTGTAGGTTAAGAAAACTTATCTACCACATAAACCCATTTATTAATGGGTTTAAAGTGCGAGAGTCGTCCACAACCCTGTAGGTTAATGGGTTTAAAGCCTATCTACCACATCTGGAGACGTACACACAATAGAAACTTATCTACTACCACACCCTGTCTTAATGTTTAGCAAGTTATCTACAACACCCTGATAGGTTATGGGGTTTAAGAGATGCGTGATCTAACCACACCCTGTAGTTAATGGGGTTTAAAGCTTATCGAACCACACCCCGGTATTATGACCTGAAAGCTTATTCTACCCTACCAACGCCCTGGTAGTAATGTTTAAGCTTATCTACCGCACAACGCTCTAAGGTAGGTAGGGGTTTACAAGCTTATCTACCACACCCTGTTTGTTAATGAATTAAAGTCTATCTACTACAACAGATCAATTAGTCAGATTGTTGTTAATGGGTTTAAAGTCTAAGTCTACTACAAACGAGGACATTACTGTTGATTAATGTTTAAAGTCTATCACTACACGAGTTCATTAAGACTGGTTGGATTTGGTTAATGGGTTTAAATCTATCTACACACGAGGTCATTAAGGCTGCAGGTCACCTGTACACCACCAGTCAGAATACTTTAATACCTAAAATACTGATTAATGCAAACTACAAGTGTATACACACTGAGATATACACCTCTCAGTGTATATACACTGAGATATACACCTCCATGTATATACACTGAGATATACACCTCACAGTGTATATACACTGAGATATACACCTCTCAGTGTATATACACTGAGATATACACCTCTCAGTGTAATACACTGAGATATACACCTCACAGTGTATATACACTGAAATACCACCTCTCAGTGTATATACACTGAGATATACACCTCTCATGTGTATATGCACTGAGATAAACACCTCTCAGTGTATATATACACCGAAGATATACACCTCTCAGTGTATATAACACTGAGATATACACCTCTCAGTGTATATGCACTGAGATATACACCTCTCAGTGTATATATACACTGAGATACAACCTCTCAGTGTATATATACACTGAGTTATATCACCTCTCAGTGTATATGCACTGAGATATACACCTCTCAGTGTATATATACACTGAGATATACACCTCTCAGTGTATATGACTGAGATATACACCTCTCAGTGTATATACGCTGAGATATACACCTCTCAGTGTATATACACTGAGATATATCACCTCTCAGTATATATACACTGAGATATACACCTCTCAGTGTATATATCACTGAGATATACACCTTTCAGTGTATATCACTGAGATATACACCTCTCAGTGTAAATATACGCTGAAATATACACCTCTCAGTGTATATACAGTGATATACACCTCTCAGTATATATACACTGAGATATACACCTCTCAGTGTATATACACTGAGATATACACCTCTCAGTGTATATACACTGAGATATATACCTCTCAGTGTATATACACTGAGATATACACCTCTCAGTGTATATACAGTGATATACACCTCTCAGTGTATATATACACTGAGATATACACCTCTCAGTGTATATATACTGAGATATACACCTCTCAGTGTATATACACTGAGATATACATCTCTCAGTGTATATACAGTGATATAGACCTCTCAGTGTATATACACTGAGATATACATCTCTCAGTTATATACACTGAGATATACACACTCTCAATATATGATATACACCTCTCAGTATATACACCATTCATCTCTCAGTATATACCTGAAATCATCTCTAGTATATACACTTAGTATACACCTCATATATACGCTGAGATATACATCTCTCAGTATATATACTGATATACACCTCTCAGTATATACACTGAGATATACACCTCTCAGTATATACACTGAGATATACACCTCTCAGTATATACACTGAGATATTACACTCTCAGTATATACACTGAGATATACATCTCTCAGTGTATATACAGTGAGATATACACCTCTCAGTATATACACTGAGATATACACCTCTCAGTTATATACACTGAGATATACATCTCTCAGTATATATCACTGAGATATACACCTCTCAGTAATACACTGAGATATACACCTCCATATATACACTGAGATATACATCTCTCAGTATATACACTGAATATACACTCTCAGTGTATATACACTGAGATATACACCTCTCAGTATATACACTGATATACACCTCTCAGTATATACACTGAGATATACATCTTCAGTGATATACACTAGATATACATCTCCATGTATATACACTGAGATATACACCTCTCAGTATATACACTGAGATATACACCTCTCAGTATATACACTGAGATATACACTCTCTCAGTATATACACTGATATACACTTAAGTGTATATATTCTGGACTCAGAATAAAAACATTCTGCATATAGTAAACTCGTCTATAACATTATATTCAAATTATCATTAACAATAACAAAAAAATATTTACTATACAAATCACAGATGTAGTGTGGTCACCTAACTGTGGTTGCAGGGGTCGAGTCACAGCTCTTGGCCCCGTGTGTGCGTACTTATAATACTGAGTTTAGGAGCTACATCGAGTTATGTCAGAAAATAATTGCTGGTGTGTATGAAAGGTTTGTGCAGTGTAATTCAACCTTAATTAACGAAACCTGAGCTATTAAGTAACTAAGGAACATTAGTACTCACGCCTACATTACTTAGTAGTAATGATCGTTGGCCTCGTCTGCTAAAATTAACGAATTACGAGGTAATAAAATCATAATAAAGATGACGAAGACTGCGTGAGATTCATGTTGGCAGACATTCCGCGGGAGATAATGTTACTGGAACTGTTTACATCAGTGAGCGATGATCTGATTGGTCACTCCAATGTTTACATCAGTGGGCTGAGCTCTGATTGGCAGATTCTGTATTTTATCACATACATCCTACCTAACTTAAACATAATTCTATCGCTAATATGTCCTGAATAAAACTGTTATTTTCATCATGCTCTAAACTCAGTAATGTCTATTTGTCTATCTATCATGAAGATATTATTGAAAGTACATATATGTAGTTTGATCAAATATATATACACTAGTATGATGCAAAATAAGCTAGGGGTATAAGAGACACTTGATTATTTTCCAGGCTTCAGACTTCAAACTTCTGACTTCTGACTTCTGACTTCTGACTTCTGACTTCTGACTTCTGACTTCTGACTTCTGACTTCTGACTTCTGACTTCAGACTTCAGACTTTGACTTCAAACTTCAAACTTCAGACTTCAGACTTCAAACTTCAAACTTCAAACTTCTGACTTCAAACTTCAGCCTGGCAGGAAGTTCTCAACAAACAAGGTCTCATTGCCACACCTGACAAACACAACACACAGTGAACACCTGCTGGAACAACAATAACATGAACACTTGTGACAAATAATAATAATAATAATAATTGATTGATTAACTGATTGAGTGCAAGGAGTACCTACTTACATGATGGTTACAGTGGTACCATGATACAGGAGCAAGCACAGGTGTTAGTACAAGGTACCTACTTACATGATGGTTACAGTGGTACCATGATACAGGAGCAAGCACAGGTGTTAGTACAAGGTACCTACTTACATGATGGTTACAGTGGTACATATACAGAGCAAGCACGGTGTTAGTACAAGGTACTACTTACTGAGGTACGTGGGTACCATGATACAGGAGCAAGCACAGTGTTAGTACAAGGTACCTACTTACATGATGGTTACAGTGGTGCCATGATACAGGAGCAAGCACAGGTGTTAGTATAAAGTACCTACTTACATGATGGTTACAGTGGTACCATGATACAGGAGCAAGCACAGGTGTTAGTACAAGGTACCTACTTACATGATGGTTACAGTGGTGCCATGATACAGGAGCAAGCACAGGTGTTAGTACAAGGTACCTACTTACATGATGGTTACAGTGGTACCATGATACAGGAGCAAGCACAGGTGTTAGTACAAGGTACCTACTTACATGATGGTTACAGTGGTACCATGATACAGGAGCAAGCACAGGTGTTAGTACAAGGTACCTACTTACATGATGGTTACAGTGGTACCATGATACAGGAGCAAGCACAGGTGTTAGTACAAGGTACCTACTTACATGAAAGATACAAACACCCACAGGTGTTAGTATAAGGTACCTACTTACACGACAGGTACTGAGTTAAGCAGTTACAGCAGCACTGGAGAACTGTCTTGGTGCTGAGTGGGTGTGTCCTCAGCATCTTCTCCCAGTGAAGACTGAGAGAGATTACTTCTCATCCTTGTATAATATTTCACGTGATGCTTCAGCAGACCTGTGTCGTCTCCTGCTTCAGTCTGCTGAGGAAGCAGCAGACTCCTCAGTCTTCTCAGCATGCTCTGCTCAGCTGAGGGGGAAAAAATGGATTGTGTACCATAAGAGTGAAAATTGCTTACAAGCTCTGTGTACAAGCTAACACCATGACTTTATAAATCTCTATACAGAGATACACAAATAACCCGCACATAAAAGAGAGAAGCTTACGACGACGTTTCGGTCCGACTTGGACCATTGACAAAGTCACACTGTGTGACTTCGTCAATGGTCCAAGTCGGGCCAAAACGTCGTCGTAAGCTTCTCTCTTTTATGTGCGGGTTATTTGTGTATCGTTCCAGTCACGGTATTGTGCCTTTTTCGTTATTCTCTATACAGAGCCCCCCATACACCACGACTTTATAAATCTCTATACAGAGCCCCCCCATACATACTAAATTAAAGCAAACTTAGGTAACACTCACAGGACTGTCGTGTGATGGTCTGGGCAACTAGGTACAGCATTAGGTACACCACGAAGCTAATTAGGGTCATTACGACGCCTGATATCAACACGCTGGCCGGTCCAATAGATACGAACTCCTGCAGAAGGGAAAGTAGGTGCAGGTGTTGGACTGAGATACTGAAGAGTACCTAACAGTCCTGGGATATATCTAATTATTTGGGATATCTAAGGTGTTTTAAATCACTAGACGAAACGTGAATTTACATGATATCACATGTTATTCTGCCCCATCTGGGTTCATGAAAACATGAAAAAAACGGGTTTGTCATCCCTGCCTCAATGATAACGGGTTTGTATCTCACTTTAAAACTATGTTTATCACATACATCCAGGATAAACTTCAGGGAACCAAATGTAAAAAGGTAATATACCCTCTAAAACGCTGTTCTGAACCCCCAAAGTCTGCGGTTATTGCTGAATAAACTAACACCCCCTTTTAAGGGGGATACAATACTGATGTGGTCTCCCAATTCCCCAATTGTTCAAAAAAAATACCAAAAACATACTGAACACGCATGTCCGGACAATTTATATTGCTACCCCCGAATGGGCCTCGAAATAAAAATTTTCCCCTTTGTGTTATTTAGGTAGGGTTAGTACTTACAATCTTTGGAATGTAGTCTGGCCAATCCCTCAGTTGGGTACCTAAAGAAGGAGTACCATAATTACGGACCAAAAGGTAGGTACCGAGGGTTTGTGGCGCCATGAATAACCATTTTCTACCATGGCTTACCATAACCCGCTCGTTGAGTACCATAGTGTAAAAACCAAAATATCACACACTGTTGGGGTTAACCTTATGGTAGTGTTAGTCCCAATAACTACCAAAACTGTGAGGTACCATGGGTAGTGCTAGTACCATAACTACCAAACACACTGCTGAGGTACCATGTTTGTAGTGCTAGTACCATAACTACCACACACTCCCTGAGGTACCATGATGGTAGTGCTAGTACCATACTACCACCACTGTAGGTACCATGATGGTAGTGCTAGAAACCATAACTACCAAAAACTGTTGATGGTACCTTTGGGTAGTGCTAGAAACCATAACTACACACACTGCTGAGGTACCATGATGGTAGTGCTAGTACCATAACTACCACACACTGCTGAGGTACCATGAGGGTTAGTGCTAGAAACCATAACACCACACACTGCTGAGGTACCATGATGGTAGTGCTAGTACCATAACTACACACCTTTGCTGAGGTACCATGAGGTAGTTGCTAGTCCCAAAAACTACCACACATCGCTGAGGTTTACCATGATGGTAGTGCAAGTACCATAACTACCACACACTGCTGAGTACCATGAGGTAGTGCTAGAAACCATAACTACCACCCCTTGCTGAGTACCATGATGGTAGTGCTATACAAACACCACACAGCTGAGTACATGATGGTAGTCATACCATCTACCACACACTGCTGAGTACCATGATGGTAGTGCTAGTACCATAACTACCACACACTGCGAGGTACCATGATGGTAGTGCTAGTACCATAACTACCACACATTGTGAGGTACCATGATGGTAGTGCTAGTACCATAACTACCACACACTGCTGAGGTACCATGATGGTAGTGCTAGTACCATAACTACCACACACTGCTGAGGTACCATGATGGTAGTGCTAGTACCATAACTACCACACATGCTGGGGTTACCATGATGGTAGTGCTAGTACCATAACAAACCACACATTGCTGAGGTACCTTTGAGGGTAGTGCTAGTACCATAACTACCACACATGCTGAGGTACCATGATGGTAGTGCTAGTACCATAACTACCCACTCTGAGGTACCATGAGGGTTTAGTCTAGTACCATAACTACCACACACTGCTGAGGTACCATGATGGTAGTGCTAGTACCATAACTACCACACATTGCTGAGGTACCATGATGGTAGTGCTAGTACCATAACTACCACACACTGCTGAGGTACCATGATGGTAGTGCTAGTACCATAACTACCACACATTGCTGAGGTACCATGAGGTAGTGCTATACCATAACTCCCACACATTGCTGAGGTACCATGATGGTAGTGCTAGTACCATAACTACCACACATTGCTGAGGTACCATGATGGTAGTGCTAGTACCATAACTACCACACACTGCTGAGGTACCATGATGGTAGTGCTAGTACCATAACTACCACACATTGCTGAGCTACCATGATGGTAGTGCTAGTACCATAACTACCACACATTGCTGAGGTACCATGAGAGGTTAATAATATTAATAATAATAAATAATAATAATAATAATAATAATAATAATAATAATAATAATAATACTTACAATATTACATAACAACATGAAGGCCGGGGCCAGCCTGGTAGCAAGGCCTATAGACATCAGCCTACCAAAAGCGAAGGTACCCCAGAAGCAAGCATTGAGGTAGGCCGCCTCATTCATGGTCATACCAGCGATGCTCCTCCGTGCGTAGGAGAACACATACCCTCCATACCCAGCCTGTACCAGGAGATACAGCATGTTATATAGTACCCAGGAGATACATACCCTCCATACCCAGCCTGTACCAGGAGATACAGCATGTTATATAGTACCCAGGAGATATATACCATCTGTGGAAAATTTTTAATTTTCCGAAACTATAGCGCCTAATAGGTGTTTTATGTGCCGATATGAGTCAAAATGTATTTGAAAATGGAGTAGAACCAAGAGTTCCCTTGGCGCATGCGCGGATGTGCGGGGGAGGAAGGCGGATTGTTTTGAATGTGGTGAAGAAGCTGAGAAAGCATGGAACCACGAAATTGACATTCACGGCGGCCTAAGGATTAATATAGGCCTCATTTCATAATAAGAAGTGTCGTAACTGTTCCTGGTGGAGAGTGAGGGAACGTGATTTACGGGACCACGGTAATAGAGTGGTAAAAGGTGTGATAAGAGTAGGACCGGGGTGTCAGGTGCAGGGCCCGGGGTGTGTCCAGGGGACATACCCGGGGTGTTAATCCTCGCTCATCGGCCTCATTTTCTTAATGGAGTGACCTCTAATTTGTGTAATAGTTATGAGACGTTAAATCGTCTTGTGAATGGTAATGTAATCAGTGATAATAACATTGAGTTAAGAGAATGCGGGATGTAAATAGAGCGCCTTGCCCCGAGTGAACGTGTGACTCTCGTACCGGGGATAATGGAGATTTATGGAATCACGACTTCTAACCGGGACAAACCGACGGATACCTCTCCTGCCGGAATGAGAACCGTGTCGGTGAAGCAGGACATCGAAACTAGATGGTGAATGGAAGAAATAAGGAGTATCAATCACCCCAGTTAAGTAACCTTCTATTATAGCAAACTTATGCGGGCCCCAGAGTGTTATTTTATAATTAAAATAGGTTATGAGTGATCCAGCTACATCAAGTGACCACCAGAGAACATCTGGTAAGTGGTGGGATTATGTAAAAAATGTTTTCCCTTGATGGATGTATCCAGGTGTATCCTCCCCCCCTCCCCTTCATTCAGCGAAACTACTTAACTATACAGTCCACAATTAACTATAGAAACCGTACTTGTGTGTGCTACCCAATCCAAAACTGGTCTCGGATAGATATGGATAAGATTGTGAGGTCGAAGGGGCCACCTGAGTGACCAGAGTGGTTAAGTTTTCTCACATGTCTACACGGGGTGACTACGGTAAACAATATGTTGTCCCCCAATGAGATTACTTGTTATGTATATAATGTTGAGGTACATACAGATAAACACCCTAAAAAATTTTTCCCCATATCTGCCCGCTGGTCCTTCGTGAACCGGATGCAATCAGTGAAAAAATTATTGAATTAATTACTTAATAATTAAGTGACTGATTGAAGGAAGTCGGTGTAGGGTGCACAAGTTTAATCGATCGTGTGAGGGGATGATAATTAGCCCAATAAATTGCTAGCACATGGGTGGCTGGGGATTTATACAAAGTAAAGTGCAAGAATTACTCTTATAAGGGCGTCTACTTAAGTAGTATAATGGGTGATTATTAATTTCCCTAACCATGGCTGGGTCTGAGGAAGTTAGTGCGAACTGGAAAGTCCATGATGCCAAAGCAAAGAAAGCCACTACAAGCTGGGAAAGGGGTCATGTTACTAAATCATACAAGAAGTGTATGGAGTTAATGAAACAAGAAACGGTAAACCCTAAATGAATTAAAGCTCCCACTAGATGCCTTAGAAATAGACATGAGTCATATAGGTTGTGGTTTAAAGAATTAAAAGAGCTGCTAAGAATTGTGCAGATGATGCTGAAAGGGAGCGACTGCTGGATCAACATTATGAAGTGGAGGACAACATGTGTCCTGCAAAACTAAGGCTTTGGAGAAGGTAAAGGTTGTAAACAATGTTGTTGGTCAACCTAGTAAGGAAAGTCAGAGACATCTACCAAAACTCCCAGAATTATGTATGCCTGTGTTTAATCCGGAGAACACTGGGAGGAGTTTTGGTCTATCTTTAAAGCAGTCGTACATGATAGGAGTGATCTTGCAAGTGTTACCAAATTATGCTATTTAAAGGGACAAGTAAGGGAATGCCATGTTCTCATACAAGCATTCCAAATGTAGAGACTCCTATAGTGAGGCAGTTGACTTGTTGGAGGTCACTTAGGGTAATTTGGGGAGCAAAAGTAGGCGGACCTAGTGGCTAATTTGGCTAATTTGAAGACTCCAGATCACAACCGCAACAGTTTACAGCAATTTAGGATCAAACTAGAAAGCACTCTTAAGACCTTGAGTAATAAATATGATCTGGAGGGAGCAGAGTGGTTGTTGATGCCTTGATTCAAAATTTAAATTGAACCACAAGACCATAGAGTGGTTATCTAACAGATATCAAAAGGGGTTTCTTCAGGTTGGAAGAAATAAAGAGTGGACTGCAAGAGCTAATTGCCCAACTGCAGATCAGCCAACCCATTACCTCTAGGAATCCCACGTCTACAGACCCCAGTGCACCTGCCAAGTTCCACAAAGGGAAACCTTATCCTAATATCAATAATCCTAAGCCACCTACTACACGGGGTTACGTAGGCACGTATCAAGTGACAGGGGGCCAGTTATAGTGGTTCTCCACCTCCAAGCAAGAGGAGGAAGTACCACAATAAGGGGCCCAGTTGATAAGAGGTCGGGCAAAGAAAGGAGAGATTGTATTTCTGCAACGGTACTCATTTTCTAAAAACTGTAATGCCTATAATTCATGGATGTTAAAGTGGAAAGTTGGGAAGAGCTTGCTAGATGTATCAGTGTTAGGAAATCATAATGAAGGGATTGCCGTGCTAACTTGCACTTTGTTATCAGTGTAAAAAAGGGAAGCACCACTAGCTATGTGTAAGGCAGATCTAATCGTAATGATGGTAACAATAGTACTGATAGTGATAATAACCCAGACACAACAGTAGCCCACGTAAAGATTGCAGCTAACGTCGTAATGTGGCCTAGCTGAGGTAGCTTTGCCTGTGTTGGATGTGGTGATTAATGATAAACGGCGTAAATCCAAAACTGTAACAGCATTACTGGATCAGGGGTCACAACGTACCTTCATAAAACGTAACGCCTTAATGGGATGAAGGTACAAAAGGGAGATCCTGCCCATACTCAAGCTATCTGGCTTTCTCTCGAATAAGAAGGCCCAGTCAACACACTGTTATGTAACTGTCCGGCTGGGCAATGAGAGAAAACGTATTAATGCCGAATTGTGGATAGGCTCCCAGAGAAAATATCTACCATAGGGCTTTGGGAACGCTACTGAAAGGCTTTCGAGTAAGGTAGATTTGGCACCCTTTTGTATAAATAATGATTCGGTGGGGCCAATTTGATATTTTGATAGGTAGTGACCATTAGCCACCTTTGTAAAGGTTATGAACAAAGAAAAAGCGGAGTACACCCTTTTAAGGACCGCCGGAGGTCACGTTTATGTATGGGAAAGGCTTCCTCTACCGATAATGATGACTGGAGGAATCCATAAATACAGTTACGGTGTGTCTTGCCATGAAGTATCACCCCCGTGTAAATATACTTCAATAGAGATGAAGTTGAACCTGTGTATAAATTATGGGAATTGGACAGCATAGGGATCAATGTAAATGAAGAAAGTCCAGATGATTCCTTTACTCAAGAACAATACCAGAAGGATGTTAAATTTGAATCTGGACAATACTGGGTGAGGGCTTTCCCTGGAAGCTGAACCATCCAGACCTACCAACTAATTACCGGATGGCGTATGGACAATTAAAGGCTCAGCTCCACGAATTGAGCAAGACACCAGAACTGTTGACTGCTTACGATATAATTAATGAGCAGTTAAATAATAAATTCATAGAGGAGGTACCTCCCGAGCAAACCCAGATTTATGGTCACTATTTGCCACACCACGGAGTGAAGAAGGATTCTAAGACCACTCCTCTGAGGATTGTGTTTAATTGTAGTGCCAGGAGTAATAAAAGTGTACCTAGTTTGAATGACTGTTTGATGACAGGTCCGTCGTTGACGGAAAAACTGGGAGACATACTATTAAACTTCAGGGTTAAGAATTATGCCTTTACGGCAGACATAAGTAAAGCTTTCCTGAGAGTGGGTCTGCAGGAGGCTGACCGGGATTGCACCCAGGTTTCTTTTGGCCCGAGAATCCTGTGACCCACTTAGTCCCCTGAAGACTTTTCGCTTCAGGAGTGTATTGTTTGGTGCTACCTCCATCCGTTCCTACTCCAGGCCCAAAGATAAATGCACACCTTAAGCGTACGGGTGGTCCACTGAGTGAGTAATGGGTAAACAATTTTTGTGGACAATTTCCTGGGGTGACGTCTACTGAAAGGAACTAATGAGCATATACGCAGGGGGTAATGAAATAATGCAAGGTGCAAATATGCCCCTGGGAATGGAAAAAGTAATTCGTCCAGTTTAAGAGTTCAAATAAATAAAGACAACCCTGGAGTTGAAGTGTCCAAATATAGTAATGTGCTGGACTGACTTGGGACACAGAGGGAACTTGTTATCGTTAAAGGCCTAATGACTACAGCATGCCCAATAAATTTTAAACCCAAAAGAGTCTTGCTTGCAGAAGTTTCAAAATGCTTCGATCCACTAGGCTTAGTGTCCCCACTTACCATAAGAGGAAATTTTGATACAAGAAGCATGGAAGCTTAAGTGTGCTTGGGGTGAAACCCTACCTGAGGAAATTTTTTGAAAGGTGGGAAGAACTAATAGGGGAATATGTAAAATTACCAATGTTGAAGTTCCCCCGTAATGTGGCCAGTCAAGAGGGAGAAAATGTACTCCACATTTTTTGCGATGCTTCGAAATTAGCATATGGAGCAGTCGCTTACCTTCAATGTAATAGTGCCATTTCTCTTGTTATGTCTAAGGCTAAGGTGGCTCCAATCAAATCACGCACCTTACCTCAGTTGGAATTAACGGCCATTTATGTAGGGTTCAAATTAGCCAATTATATAAGAAATAAATTGCGAGAGATAAATATCAGCGACACCGTAATTTGGTCTGATAACGAGGTATCCTTACAATGGATTCGTAATGGTAAAAAGTAAAATTGT